ATGTTTTGATTTTTTTAAAAGATATCCTTCTTTAAGAAAATTTAATATAAGTGCAAATTTAGATAAAAAACATTTAAAAATATTTAGAGAATAATTTTAACATCATCACTAAAGGGTTATTTGCTTTATAGAAGGACTTTCGTATTAGCTTGTTTAAGTAGGAACTCTCTATTTGTGGAAGTGTATGTTTACAGATCATTAACTATTTGGCTGGCACATGTAAAGCTGGTATGTCTGTTTCACTGCCAGCTGAAGGCCAAGGAACTGAAGCTAAAGCTTTCTTACAGTTGATTGACAATCGGCTGATGAATTCTTTCATCAGTGTTTGAAATCACTCAGGCTCCATTGCCCTACTTGCCACTTGAAAGGTATATTAATTGCATACAATGAAATACATATGTAGTTTTTCTTTTTAACCCTTCAAACTATTAGGCATTATGTGCTGTTTTATAAATAACTTGGAATTCAGTGACTTTTTTCTTAAATGGTTTGGCCACTAAAGCTGATTTAGTCACAGGCACTCTCTGGGCACTGGGGCTGCAGCAGCAAAGAAAACACAGAATGCCTGTTCCTCTGGAGCTTTGGGGGGTAGGGGAAATACATAAGTAAGTAAAACATATAGGAAGGCATATAGGAATGTTGGGCAGTTGGGATTTTAAATCAGGTGGTTAGGGACAATCTGCCTGAGGAAGTGATGGTTGGTGGAAGGTAGGAAGAAGGTTAAGCAACATACAAATTTCTGAAGAGAGCATGTTCTAGGTAGAGGAAACAGTGGCTAGAAAGGCCTTGAGGTTGGAGTCTTATGTTAATAATTGTATAAGTGAGTGTGTTGGGGAAAGGTGGCAAGATAACGATACTGCTTTTGTGCATGTTGAGATTTGAGGTATTTATGGGACACCCAAGTAGTTACAGCTGGCAAGCAGTTCAGAAGAGGCTGGGGCTGGAAGGAAATCTGTGGGTCACTAGGTTATAGGTGGTATTGAAATAATGCGTGGAGATCCTCCTGGAGTTCCATGTGCAGCGAGAAGAATAGAGGACTGAAGAAGGAACCCTGGGGAACACAAATGTGGGGTGGGGATGAAAGAGCAACGTGCAGGGAAGACTTAGGTCCAACCTCATCAGAGTAAGTGGTAGAATAGGAGAGGGCAGTGTTACTGAAACTCTAAAAATGGAGAGTCTTGTCTGACTTCTGTGCCTTTCTCATCTCTGCTAACTCCCAATCAAGTCAGCCTTCGAGTGCAGCTGTCCCCACTCCCAGGCTAAGACCTTAGTTCAGACCTACCTCATTTCGTGGAGGACTCCAATAATAGTCTCTTATCTAGTCTCCTTACTCCTAAACCTACCCTTGTCAGTCAGTTTTTCACACTTTTGCCATAGTGGTCTTTCTAAAATACCGAAACACTGCCAGTGGCTTCCCATTATCTTCAGGATAAAGTTTAACCATCTCAGCTTGGCATAACATGCCCTTGATGCTCTGCATCCCCTATTTGTTCTCACTTTCTGGCTTCTTTTCCCCTTACATTTTAAATTTCATGCATGCAAATTATTTGTCCTTTCTAGAAGGACACTTGTTTGCCTCCAGCCTCTGTATATGCTTTCCTTACTTAGACTAACTCTTCCATGGCTCATTAACACTACAGTACAAGATTTGGCTAAAGTGTTACCTTCTCTTCAAAGCCCTTTCCGAGTTCCAAGCAAAACCAGAATACTCCCTTAGGGCTGGCTTCCTAGTTTGTCACTAATCTCTAGTGTGATCCTAATGACAGTATCTTGAAATCATCTCCTGTTTGTTTTCTCTCTCGAATTTATGAGCTCTTAGAGCAGTGATGGCGAACCTTTTGAGCTCGGCGTGTCAGCATTTTGAAAAACCCTAACTTAACTCTGGTGCCGTGTCACATATAGAAATTTTTTGATATTTGCAACCATAGTAAAACAAAGGCTTATATTTTTGATATTTATTTTATATATTTAAATGCCATTTAACAAAGAAAAATCAACCAAAAAAATGAGTTCACGTGTCATCTCTGACACGCGTGTCATAGGTTCGCCATCACTGTCCTAGAGGACAGTGACTTTGACATAAGGATATTTGTATTCCTGGTGCTTGGCTTAGTGTAGTAAATGTCTAGTGCACTGGTTCTCGACACTGGGAAGTTGTTAGAAATGGAGATTCTCAGGCTCCACCCCAGGCTTACTGAATCAGAACCTCAGGAGGTGAGGCCCCCAGTGTGTGTGTTTTAACCAGCCCCCCCGGGTGAGTCTGATACATTTTTGAGAACCATAAGTCTAGTAAAATGAATGATGAAAAACAAGTACTCTGGTCTCAAGAGTATCTTATATTCAGTCCTTAGAAAAAGGAAATATCTATGCTCTAGTGCTGGTTGCAAGAACTTAAAATAGTGAGCATATGTGGTTAAGATTGACAATATTTTTGACGTTGTGAATTGGGCTCAGAATCTGTTCTGAGCCTATTAAACCTTTAAAATTGGAATTAGATCAACTAGAAGGAAGATGCAAACTTGTTATTTAAAGAATCACTCATGGTGTCACCAATAGAGATAACCAAATTATCAGTGATTATTTCTAGCTGATATTATGGTTTTTATTCTTGTGTCAAATTAAATGAAGTTTCATGTAATTACTGCCTATTTTTATGGATCTATATATACTTTAGAAAATTCTTGTTGAACATTGTATTGTTGTTGTAAGCTTCTATCATAAGTCTGGGCACTAAATTTTTGCTTACAGTACATAACATTGTTTCTGTGGGAGAATAATTTTTTCAGTTGCTGTCATTTTAACTCAGAGGATTCCTTTCAGGAAAGTAACCTGCCATAAGAAAAATCTTGATTCTTCTTTTTTTCTAGAACAGGCTCAGGTACTTTTTTAAGTTAATAAACTTTATTTTTTAGAGCAGGTTTAGGTTCACAGCAAAATTGAGTGGGAAGCACAGAGAGTTTCTGAATATTCCCTGTCCCCACATTTGCAAAACTTCCCCCATTATCGACATCCTACACAGTGTCACATTTATTACAATCAATGAACTGACTTTGACTTGTTATTGTTAGACAGACCCTATCCACTTTAACCTTTCAGTTATCACCTGCAGTCCATAGTTTACAAGAGGGTTCTCTCATGGTGGTGTATATTATATGGGTTTTCACAACTGTATAATGACATGTAGTTAACATTATAGTTTATACAGAATAGTTTCACTGCCATAAGGAGCTTCTACTCTGCCTAGTCAGGCTCCCTGTAAAAGGTTTTCATAGACCTCCTTACCCAGTGATTTAAGTTATTTTTATGTCTAATTTTCATGCCTATTGAGGTGAATAGATATAAATTCTTTAAATTCTTTTTGTTTATAGTTCTTGAACAATTACAAAACTAAAATGAATTATAAATTAAATTCCATTAAAACTATAGAACTGTCCTGGCTGGTGTGCTAAGTGGTTAGAGCGTCAGCCTGCACACTGGATGGTCACAGGTTTGATTCTCAGTCAAGGGCATGTACCTGGGTTGCAGTTTCTATCCCTGCCCCTAGACCTGGAGGCAACCAATCCCACATCATTGTTTCTCTCTTCCCCTCCCTGTTCTCTTCCACTCTCTAAAAATCGACAGAAAAAATATCCTCACTTCTTGGGTGAGGATTAAAAAAAGAAAAGAAATATATAGAAAATAAATGTTTTACTGAAATTAAATGCCATTTGGGTTTAATAGTAGACATAAATACTTATGTATTTTACTTTTCCTTGATTTACTTTATTATTTCCATTTTTAAGCATTATGGATCATCATAGGAATCATTGTCATTATCATGCATATTACTGTTTTCAACCCAATCTGTTATTTTGATGGGCCGGTTTAATAGTACACTACAATAATAGTACTAAAAAATAAGTACTCATTTAATGAAAAGTTCTTTATGGTCTATTTAAAGCTATTTATTGCTATGAAGTGTTGGAAAATGGTTCATAAAAAGAACCAGTCTGGCCAGTACAACTGAATATAGAACTGACAGCTCTGTGACACTTTTTTTTAGTTTGGCATGCTTGTTCTGTCTCAGCTTGGCACAGTAGGGTTATAAATACCAGTGCAGAGGTGGGTACTGCAGTCTTGTTGCAGCATTTAGATATAAAGATGGTCATTCAGAAGATCTAAAATATATATAATTTTTAAAAAACTTAACATGAAAATGAAAACAATTTTTAAATTCTCAGAGAACTCATGAATCTCCAGGAATAAGTCCTTAGATCCAAGAACCTACTATTAACATAATATTGCTAATAACTAAATAAGTTTATGAAACAGTAACATGTAGTATTTAAATAAAGTCACAATTAAAAAAAATCCTCACCAAAACATTGGATAGCTAGCCTAGTTTTAAACTTTTAAAACTTGTGCCAACTTTAAATCATATGAGTGTTTTGTTATTAATATTTTTTGAGTATTTTTTAAAATATATTTTATTGACTTTTTACAGAGAGGAAGGGAGAAGGATAGACAGTTAGAAACATCGATGAGAGAGAAACATCACTCAGCTGCCTCCTGCACACTCCCTACTGGGGATGTGCCCGCAACCAAGGTACATGCCCTTGACCAGAATTGAACCTGGGACCCTTCAGTCCGCAGGCTGATGCTCTATCCACTGAGCCAAACCGGTTAGGGCTGCTATTAATACTTTTAAGAGCGTTCACCTGAGATTCTTCAAACTGAAAGCTGAAAGAGAGTATTTTGTTCCTTGTAGATTAAACTGTGATGACATAAGAGTTGAGCTTCCTGAAAAATACCCACAGAGGAAGCCATTTATAATAGGATAGAACCAGAGACTTAACAAGAGGAACAGAGACACTGGGAGAGAAAATCCTGGAGGCAACGTCTGCCTCTTCAACTCTGGTTTCCTGATTATTTTTCATCAAATTACTCTTCTGGTTGAAGCTAGTTCCAATTAGGTTTTTCACTTAGCTCTAGAGCTTGTGTGTGTGTGTGTGTGTTCCATATTATAATTTAAAGGATTTGTTCTTTTTTTACAGGTGAAGATGGAGCTGGGAAAACAAGCTTAATAAGAAAAATTCAGGGAATAGAGGAGTACAAGAAAGGAAGAGGATTGGAATATTTGTACTTAAATGTTCATGATGAAGACAGGGATGGTGAATATCATCTATTTGTAACCTAAGTTTTCTGAAGTCTTTCCAAGGTGCACTGCTGCTCATATTAGTCTTGAGTGTGCCGTTTTTCACTAAGAGTCCTACTATGTCATGCCAATCAGTAAATAGTTATGTTTAGGCATATGTTTATTGGTTTGGGATTGGGATTGATATTAAACATCTTAATGTATTCTGGTGTGCAGACCAGCTTTCTTGCTCTCATTGAAGAATATCAATTTTCAGTTCATTTTCCCTCACATGATGAATAATAGTATCCCATGATTGTTTGCTGACTCCCCTTTATCTCCTTTTCATTTTTTGACATAAAGATGTCATCTCCCTGCTTTTCTTATCTGATCAACCATTTTTTTCTTCTATAGATCACTTGCCTTCTCATTTTTATATATAATATCTTGAATATGCATGGCTCTATCTGCTGATGGTAAGAATAGCAACATGTTATTCAGTCTGTGGTTTGGGATTAAGAAATATGAAGTAGAGGATGCTGGTGTGCCATGTTGGCAGTAAAATTATTTCCTTGAATATTTGATAGGCTTTTACTAAATTGGTAGATATGACCTAAGTAGTTGAACTTTGTCAGAAGAGGCATCTCCTGTTTAGATGATCTAAAATACAAAGTATTGTTAGTTGGATGATGAAATAACTTAATCCTGTTGCCTTGGTAACTTTCCTTTGTCTGTTGTAGATCAAACAAGATGTAATGTGTGGATCTTAGATGGAGATCTGTATCACAAGGGCCTCCTTAAATTTTCACTGGATGCCATTTCTCTGAAGGACACTCTAATTATGCTGGTTGTTGATATGTCAAAGCCTTGGACTGCTTTGGATTCTTTACAGAAATGGGCAAGTGTTGTTAGAGAACATATTGACAAATTGAAAATTCCTCCTGAAGAAATGAAAGAAATGGAACAAAAGTGTGAGTAGTCTATAAATATTAATATAAATTTCAAAAACAAATTTCCTAACTGGCAATCATAATTGTTGGGAATTTTTTACTTTGAATAAAGTTTAATGAAAGAAATACAATGTGAGTTCTGTTTTTGAAATTCAGTTTAAATGCTATGCTAGATTTTAATATAATTTTAAATTCAAAACGTCTACATAATGGCAGACTTTCTTAGAGGTGCCTTAGCTCCTTTGCCAAAAGGCCATATGTGTTCATTTTGAAAAGTTGTTTTCAAGATTTAAAAAATTTGAATCTTTCTTCAGCTGCTCATTTTCAGCAGTTCACTTCTTGATAAGCAGAACAATCTTATCAACCTTGTCAAAATGAAATATGTCCAAAAAGATGTTAACCTAAATATAGGGTGTCCCCAAAAAAAGCATATATACAGTATCTGTAGATTCTATTACATCTTGAAAATGAAATGTATTTTAATAAACACTGCCTTTACAATTATTCAAAGTGAATATATATTTTTGGGGGGGATACCCTGTATAAAGATGTTAAGCTGGTTTTATTCACAAAGTACATAATATATTTTGTACATGCCCATGTAAATTGGAAGTTTTCATGGAAATTATGAAAATGATATGGGTCATTTCCAACTGTAAACCAGTTGCCACAGTTCTGAATTTCAACAATAGCGCTTCATTTGTCAATGTTGTACTTTGCTTAAGAAAATATACAGATGGAATACTGCTTTTCTTTGTTATTGTTAGTTCATAATAACTTTTTGGGGAGAATTGACACTTACTGTAATTTATATGCAAGGAAACAGAAAACTTAAGAGAATATATGTCCTAAATCAATGAAAAAGATGTCCAGCTGTTCTTAATCTATACCTTTCTTTCCTGTTGGCCATTGCCTTGGGTTTTCGTCCCCCCTCTCCAAATTTATACTACAGCAGTGGTCCCAGGACTACCAGCATCAGTATCAGTACAGCCAGGAGCTAGTCAGAAAATACACATTCTTAGGCCGCACCCCAGACTACTAAATCAGAAACTCGAGTGCATGCTAAAAACTTGAGAAGCGCTGTTAGATTTCAGCCTTTGATTTGAAGGGTAGTAGCTACCAAAGTTGCTAAGGGTAAATGCATGTCCCTTTGTTCTTGGAGGAACTGCACTCAAGTGTTCAGGATTCCCTCTTCCTTGACACCATGTAAGTTTAAGATATTTTCTTCCTTTATATTTCTGTATAATATTCCCTCATATACTGTTTTAATCCTATGCTGTGGATAATTTGTTTCCAGATTTGTTTTGCTTTTAAACATGAGAAGCAGTCTTATATAGGAATCACTGGTTGTTTCTTTGAGAATTCCTCAAAGAATAATTACTGAGTCAAAGTATATATTGGTTAGGCTCTTGATACATTCACCTTGTTTTAAGTGAAGATTTTGACAACCTTGCAAATGAGTTGTAAAAATTTATCAGTGGTGATAATACCTCATTAATTCTCACCAGGGTTAAAGAATGAATGTGGCCCAAGATTGCACCTATGTAAAAAGGAGAAGATCTGAAAAAAGGGTTTAGAGAAGGAAGCTAATATTTAGAAAATCATCTAGGATTGTCATTTAAATTGTGGAATTCCCCCTTCCTCACACATATATTTTTCTTTTATCCTTTTTCAGTACTTGTGAATTAGAGAAGATAGACAAAGCTAGATTGTGACTTGCCTAAAGTAATTTGCACAAACTAAACCATGCCTATGTTGAATCCCACTCTTTGGAGCCATTGAGTCTTATACTCTGCCTCCTAATAATTAATGTGGGATCAATGTATCTGTACTGTCCTTGAAATAGTTTTCACAAACCCTTTTTGTTTCTTTTACACAAGACCAAGTATAAACTCTAGTAAAATATATATTTAGATTATGGTAGAAAAAGCTACCTGCTGAAATAAAGCAATTTCTAAACTATGTATTAAATTATTTACTTTGATTTTCAGTGATTAGAGACTTTCAAGAATATGTAGAGCCAGGAGAAGATTTCCCAGCTTCTCCTCAGAGAAGAAATACCATGTCACAGGAAGACAAAGACGACAGTGTGGTTTTACCCCTGGGTGCGGATACACTTACACACAACTTGGGCATTCCAGTACTAGTAGTTTGCACAAAGGTTAGTTTGCTTCCTAGAGATTCTGTTACTGATATTAACCCAGGATGAACAACTGTTCTGTTTCCCAGATCCCTTTTGGAGTTGACACATTATTTTTCCTAGATAATTTTTCTTAAATATAAATAATAGTTTAAAATAATTGAATGATATTTACATGTTGGTTTTATGATCTTGATCATAGTTTCTTTGAAAGAAAACGTTACTTTGGATATTCTCTTTGTGATTGAATATCATTTCCCAAATTCCAATTAGACTTTATTATACAGTCAGTTTAAAGAAATAAACACAGGTAAGATAATAAGTTAATTATTAATTTTTATAAATTTGCACATTAAATATTGGAATACTAATACCCTAATATCAGAAGATTATATACTTAAAATAAAATAGACTTTTAAACATCTACTTTTAACACCTAAAATAAAATAGGCTTTTAAGCACTCATTATGTTAAGTTAATATGCAGTTATCAGGGGCTTTTTACTTATTTATTAAAGAGGTTCTGAGAGGATTGCTAAAATCAAAATTCTGTTCATTTAATCTGTCATTATATACACTTTATAATAAAGTCAAATTTCCTTTAAAAATTATTTATATATAAAGTTTATCTTCTCACCCTTTGGTCCTAAGTAGTATGCCTTTATTGTCTGTAAGTCATGGAATAGTTAAGAAAATGACAGAACAAATAAACCCTTTCGAGATCTAAAATTATTAATATTTTTTGTAATACATAAAATTTGCAAATATAATTGAAGGAGGGTATGGAATTTATTCATCTTTGGGATAAAAATGATAAAAAAAATTTTAATCTACCTTATATTTTACTTTAAAAACTACAAAATTTATCAATAACAATTGGGGAAGGGTAGCATTTAAATCAAGTCTGTTATCTGCTTTTCAAATGATGATCCTGCTTTAGTTAATTGTTACTTATACCTTTTCTTTAAAACTATTTTTAAACTGTCACACTAGGATCCTCTTGTGTGGGGTTTGTTTTTGTTTTGTTTGGCAAAGAGTTGTTTATTGGCAGATATTTTCCTGCCAATTACACAACTTGCTTCATAAATTTCCAAAGGAGAAAACTGTTAAGCTTAAAGGAACCTAAATCATTAAATAATGTCATAGATGCATAAAACTTTCAAGCCAGAAGAGATCATCTACTATATTTCACAGAATCTAAAGCACCATCAGATGTTCTTCAGTTTAAGAGCTTTTAAAATATGTAGGGGAATGGGAGAATGTGTGTGCTGGAGTGGATGAAAAATGGTAGTTTCACTGGGCTTAAAAACTAGACATTGAGATTCAGAGAGACTAAGCTTCTTGCCTTAGGTCCAGATCCTCTTATTTCATTTAAAGATTTCTTTACATGTCAAATTTGACCCCAAACTAATATTAGGTATAATGAGCATTATTGAGTGTTTATTTTTAGATTTTATACCTTCAATACAGAAAGGTTTTGGTGAAATATTTGAACATGCCTTTTTTTCTGTAACATTTTTCTGTAGCAAGTAGAATTTAGAATTTGTTTCATTGATTGTACAGGTGACATTTAAAAAATAGCCTGTAATCCCCCCCCTTTTTTGCTATTGGTGAAATTGTAGTGAGAGTGAAAAGGCACCAGAGGAGAAATGAAGGTCAACAGAGTTATCAGATAAACAGAGGAACAAAGAGGAAATAGTGAGAGATGCAGACTCCCTGGGAACATAGTGTTTTATAGAACTAGAATAGATTTTAGATCTTAAAAACTTTGTTCTAGGACATAAGTAGTTGAATTAACAAGTATTATAAACTTGTCTTGTTCTGTACTAAAACTTTCTCTATAGTGTTTTCGCCACATTCAGTATAGCTTTGAATTCAGTGCTTTTTTTTAAAGAAATAAAATTATTTATTAGTCTTAAGATTCCTACTAAATGTCTCTAGACAAATAGGAGTAATTGCTATTCTAGGTCCTACTGTTCAAAGTGGTAGTTTTGTGATATTCCCCCACCCAAAATTGAACTGTTTAAATCATTATATTTAAACTTGATTAAAGTTAACGTATTGTTTTTTTAAATTATTTTAACCCAACAGTGTGATGCCATTAGTGTATTGGAGAAAGAACATGACTACAAAGATGAACATTTTGATTTTATTCAGTCACATATCCGGAAGTTTTGTTTACAGTGTATCCTTTTAATACATTGATTAGTGCAATGTACCTTAATGTACCTTACCTGTTTGTTTGTTTTTAAGGAAAGGAATTAAATTGATGGGACTTTAGAAATTCCATAAGCTTTGTTCCTTCTGCCTCTGGCTGGAAATATCATTTTAGTTCTCAAATCATTTATATCTGGGTATTTTGAGATATAAAAGCAAATATTAAAGTATATAAATTTGATTTGCTGTGTTTAAAGTACTAAAGAAAAATAAATATTAGTCTTATTTGGAAAGTTTTAATGAGTATGCATTGTAATTATTCTGATTAAAAAGTTGTATTTATACCACCAATGTGTTTATATCATTCTGTTTTAGAGTCTGAATAAATGAAACCAGTTGCCCCTCCACCTCCACCTCCCTCAAGTGGTATTCATTTATTGGGTGGGTGGTGGGGCAAGATCAACATTTAAGTTCGTTTGTTCTTATTTTTAATATGTTTGGTATGTTATCTCCACATATAATCTAAAGTAGTGGTTTCAAAATCTGGCTGTGCCATCTAAGACTTACTAATTGGGAACATTACAAGGTCAGCTAGAGAATCTATACTTTTTAAAAAAATATATTTTATTGATTTTTTACAGAGAAGAAGAGAGAGGGATAGAGAGTTAGAAACATCAATGAGAGAGAAACATCGACCAGCTGCCTCCTGCACACCTCCTACTGGGGATGTGCCTGCAACCAAGGTACATGCCCTTGACCGGAATCGAACCTGGGACCCTTCAGTCCGTAGGCCAGCGCTCTGTCCACTGAGCCAAACCGGTTAGGGCGAGAATCTATACTTTTGAAAAGCTTTCTGGTTGATTTTGATGATCACAAGGTTAGAAAACCTAACATAAGGAATCTTGTCTAGTCTAGGTTACAAGGATTAGATGAGCCAATTAATAACATGTACAACTAAAAGGAGGATAAAGTGAGGGTTAGGAGTGAATGTTTTTAAGAGAATTTATTGTCAAAAACTTCACCACAGCTTGAGTGCACCAAAGGGAGAGAGTTGTGCACCAGATAGTTTGTGGTTTCATTCCGCAACCAAAGCTTTTGGGTCTGAAAAGTGAAGAAATGATATTAGGAGTAGGTAAGAATAATAAATAATATACATGTATTTATAGTATCAGTAGTTTTTCATTTTCATTAATGGACATTTAATTTAAGGACCACTTAATAGAAAGCCTAGCTGAATAATGAATAAGATCACTCAACCCTGGTAGTTTCCCTTTCCTTTTTCCTTCAGTACTTTCTTCTCTCCATGGCCCTTTCTCATGTCACATAATGGTTGAGTCAGGTTGAATTAAAGGGCACTAGTCTATATAAAGAGTCTTTAAAAAGAGAACAAAAAGTGAAAGTAATTGAAGTAGGTATATAAAGCCCTTTTTATCTTTGAAGATTACAAAATTTGAGAACAGTCTCTTTTAAGATGTATTAATGCTCTATTTGAAAATGTACATACAGAAATGTAATCAGGAAGTAAGCTGTCCACCGAGATAATTACAGACCTTTTAGTAGAGCTAGTTGACTTTAATAGTGAGGTGTGTGTATGTCTGTGAGTGAGGGCAACAGTTCAAAATCATCTTTATTTTTAAAATTTTAATTGCAATGCAAATTTTTCAGCTGTAGACATCTTTCAAATTATAAATGGGTTCACATGAGGAAGATCATTAATGAAAAATTTACACAATTAAGCTTTTACTTAAGACTATGATATTTATTTCTACCAAGATTTATGTTAAGTAGTATTTAGCAATACCACTTTCAGGTTCATGTCCTAGCAAATATGAATGTCTCAGATCAGAAGTCAGCCCATTCCCAGCATTTCCTCAGGCATAAGTTACCATCTCTTTCAGGACATCATGGCCAGTGGTCATAGAATTTCTGATAGCCTCTCTGACCACATTGTCAGTAGTCACACTGACCCTTTTTTTCACAGGCCTCTTTTGATTTGTGTTGTTTGGGTAAAAGTTATGATCTGCTTTTATTAATATATCATGTGAGATTGTCTTAGCTCAAGTTTTAGCCATGAAATCTACTTTACCTTGGATCATTTCTGAACGCTTCCTGGTAATACCTATTGATTCATCTCTTTTTTGTGGGTCTCTGGAGCTGTGTCCCCAAAGTCCTCATTCCTTGGAACTAGTAAAAATCGTAAGAGGTACTTGTGCAAACCATTTTTGTTGAAAAGGCAAACAAAACGGTTGTTGATAAATAATACCCCTCCATGAAGTTTAAAAAAGAAATTGCCTCTTCATGTGCTTTAAATATAGATAGTAGTAGTGTCAGTATTACTAAATTTACCTTTTCTTTTTTGGCTTAATGAGACTTTTGGTTTTATTTTATTATAGCTTATTATAAAATATTTTATTTGCCTTTTTGCCTGCATTTAAGTATTTTATACTTTTGAAATCTTCGATGACCATATATAATAAATACACCTTTAGAAATTATTTTTGAAATGAATAAATCATGTAGCTGTGAATGTTAGGCTGAGAACAAGAACTTTATGACCTGTTTGTGGAATTTGTCCAGAAATTTCTTTAATGGTTCCATTCAGATGGTGCAGCACTTATTTACACTTCAGTAAAAGAAAACAAAAATACAGATTTAGTATATAAATACATCGTTCAGAAACTATATGGATTTCCGTATAAGATTCCTGCTGTTGTGGTGGAAAAAGATGCAGTATTTATGTAAGTATGCTCTTAAATACATTATTTTATCACGTATTGTTGCTACAGTTTGATGGTGAGTCATCATTTTCAGTTTTGAGGTGAGACCAGTGGAGACCTTTCTATGATGAGTAGGTGAGAATCTGTCCCTAGACTGTTTTATTTATAACCTGCCCTGACCTATTTATCATTGTCTTTTAGAGTTACTGCTGGCCTGAGCCCTCTTCGAAAGGCCATGTTATTGCTATTTATTGAGTGTATAATATCAGTATATCTACTTATTCTTTAATTGGTTATGATATAACATAAAGCATCCAATATATAATTGAGACATGATTTTAAAAAGTTATCTGAATAAAATTGGGAGGTGATTTAGTAAACTGTAACTTGAGCCCTATCATTTAAAAAGCTGATTGGTTTTCCATAATTGGTCAAATTTATTTTCATAAAATGTTCCTTTTAATCTGATCATGGCTTAAATTTAAAGAATAACTATATAAATGCTTGAAAATTTCTCATGTGTGTTTCTTTCCAGTCCAGCTGGGTGGGATAATGATAAGAAAATAGGAATATTACACGAAAATTTTCAAACATTAAAAGCAGAAGATAATTTTGAAGACATTATAACTAAACCACCTGTTCGAAAGGTAACAGTTTTAGTATATACACACATAATCTCAATACTTATGCATTTAAACTGAGGGGCAAGTTCATAATTTTAAGATTGTAAGGTAGAAAGATAAAAGTGTAATTTGGGTTGTCAAGTGTAATTTGGGTGTTGGTAATGTATCATTCAAAATAAAGATCTGTTTTATCAGAACATAAATCAGCTATTCAGTTACTGAGTCATGACTTAGCCTTTGGCATGTTTATATTAGAAAATATTAGTTCAGAGTTCATATTTTAATGGAAATCACAGATTAGTATGAGTGAGTATGTAGATCTTGAATAGTTTGAATAGGTAGAAGCTGTGAACTTTCTAACCTAGAGCTCAGATTTAGTCTTGACTATTACATATCACTCTTAAGACCATTAAATTGGGTTCCAGAAGGTACTTTTTCTTCCTATATCTTAATTTCATGTTAAGCAGTTCATGGTGTTCTAATAGTTAGGTATTATAGACATTTCTGAAAAGTTGTATATAGTACTTCTCACTAACTTTGGATGTTTCAAGAAAAAGTAATTTTGATCTAACATACATTAAGTCTTACTTAAGACTCCATTTACATTTGGCAGCTGTCTTCTGTTTGTGGGTAATCAAAAAAAAAAAAAAGAAAAGTAATGTCAAATGAAAAATCAGTTGATGTGGTATTTGGTTTGGCTGTCTATTAAAGAAATGCACACACCAAAAAGCAATGGTTTTCCCAGTTTTTCTTTTACCAACAAATTGGGATTTGTTTTAGTTGTTTTTATTGAGCCATTGTTTAGGCACTAGGTGTTAACTAGGAGGGTGTGATGTAACAGTAAATCAATACATGGGCCATCTCTCAAGTGGTCAGAAGTGCTATGCAAGTGAAGCAGAGGGGAGAAACAGGACAGGGACCAGAGGCATGCTGTTGTTAAAATGGTTAGGGAATGTCCCCGGTAAGAGGGGAGAGTGGTGAAGGCAAAGGGAACTGGAAGTGCACATGCCTGAGGCAGGAATGCCCAAGGGGTTAGGAGATGAAAGGCAGAGTTAAGGTCTTTGGGGCCTCACTGGGGCTGCAGAAAGGACTTTGGATTTCATTCTTAGTGGGATGGAAAGTGCTTGGAGGGGGTGTTTGAGTAGAGGAGTGATGTAATCTGATCTAACCTTTTAAAAGGATCACTCTGGCAACTGGTGGAAAATAGACCATGTGTGCATGAAAAGCAACTTGCTCCTGGTTTCCCTGAAATAAGAATGTGATGGCTCTTCTGTCTGCTGTATAATTAGGAAAAATAAGTTGCAAATATCCCTGCTTCCAGACTTGCTCATTTATGCATTGCTCATTGCTCATTTCAGTTTGTGCATGAGAAGGAAATTATGGCAGAAGATGACCAAGTATTTCTTATGAAGCTACAGGTATGAAATTACATCATAAACAGACTTAGTGTGGTTACTGGGTAAACTGTTATTCTACGTAGTTTCTTTAAAAATACAATACAGCCCTAGCTGGTTTGGCTCAGTGGATTAGCGTTGGCCTGCGGACTGAAGGGTCCCGGGTTCGATTCTGGTCAAGGGCACGTAACTGGGTTGCAGGCTCCTCCCTGGCCCGGGCCCTGGTCAGGGGGTGTGCAGGAGGCAACCAATAGATGTGCTGCTTCTCTCACAATGCTTCTCTCTGTCTTTCCCTCTCTCTTCCACTCTTTCTAAAATCAATGAAAAAATATCCTCGGGTGAGGATTAAAAAAAGAAGTAGAAGAAAATACAATCATACTAGTACATGTTATATGAGTATCTAACCTAGAATTCTTTTGTGTTTTTCAGACCCTTTTAGCAAAGCAACCACCAACTGCAGCTGGGCGGCCTGTGGTCAGTATTACAGATTTTGACAAAACTATTAAAATGCAGTGCATACTGCTTTAGTTTTTTATTTTTTAAAGCATATACATGTCTCATATGGGTGTGCTTTAATATAAACATGAATTAAGAATTCTTCTGGAATTTATGAGATTTTTTAAAGATAAATTTTGCTCCCTTTTAGATGACTTAAATGATAAAGATCTATTTTGCAGTGTTTGTCATGCATCAGTTATGAACCATTTATATGTGTTATTTTATAAATCCTCACAACAGCCCTATGAGGCAGGAACTATTATTAGCCCCATTTTGTACTGGGGGAAATGGAAGCTTTGAAGGACATTGGCTTCCCTAACATTATGCAGCTGGTAGGCTGTAAGTCCACATTGGAACCCAGATCTGACTCTCAAACTTATGCCAGTAACCACCCTTCAGTACTCAATACGTTTTCTTTCTCCATTGAAGGGAAAATTAGTATTCTAAAATGTGATGGGTCTCTGGTATTTTCTAATAATGAAGATGTTAGGGTTTGGCCAGTGAAGGAATTTACAACCAAAAGAAGAGATGCAGAGAGGAAATTTATTTTACTTTCCCAGAAGGGAAAGGCCTGGTGCATTGCTAATCAATACAGGGCAAGAAACAAAAAGCACCTTCCCCTTTTAAAGAGGAATGGCTGCTGTTGCTAGGTGTCAAGAAAGGGAGGAGGATTTTGGGTTGAAGTTGAGCAGACATCAAGGAGGTTGTCTTGAAAATATAGTTTGTTTTTTAGGAGATGGGGACAGATGTTTTAGGGAGGTGTCTTATCAGATTTTTCCCCAAGCCTGTAAAACGGTGGTTCTCAACCTTTTTGGCCATGCCCCACCTAAGCATCTCTAAACTCCTGCTGCCCCCCCCCGCCCCCCCCATGACATATAATTCTTATTATTCAAAAAGTGAACTCCTGTTCACGTGGAGGAAGCCTAAAAGGCCATTAACTTGGTCTAAACAAGCTTCCAAAGAACATGGCACCCATGAAAGAAAAAAATAAAAGAATGAAAGGACAGTTGAAGTACCGAGGAAGAAATCACTAAGAAATTGTTAAAAACAAATAATAATATGAAGTGATATGAAAAAATAGCAAATAAAGTTTCAAAACATAGAGAACTGAAATGCATAAATATGTCACAATATATATTTATATACTGTATATGAGGCCCCTAGAACCATAAGATATGCAAAAAATTCACTGTTAATAATTCATTCTCAAATTGCCCCCCTTAACAATCAAATTGTCCCCCTGTAGAGCATGTGCCCCACGTTGGGAACTACTGCTGTAAAGCATGCTTAGAACAAAAGTTATGAAGAGTTCAAAAGAGGCTTGTTTGAAGAGGAGGAGAGCGAGGGAACTGTCTACTAACTAGAGACTCCTTGGTGTGAATTATACCTGAATTGTAAAAACAGCATGGAGAAGGGGGAATGCAAGAATGTAGCCTTGAGAGTAGCTTATCTTGTCTTGCAGTTTGAACAGAGGGGCTGTTTGAATCAGAGGAGCTAAAAACATTGGGATTTAATTACCAGGTGCTTTTCATAAATTGTGGAAGGCCACAGCAAAGAAAAAGACAGGCCTTTTTTCTGTCCTTAACAGAGGATATGATTGCTAAACGTTTTTGTCAGTGGTTTGCAGTGTAAAAGAACAGATGGGGTACAGTTGCAAAATAATTTCTATCTTCTATAATAATAAAAGCATAATTTGCTAATTAGACCACACGTCTTTCTGGATGTTCTTCCATCTGGACAAAGCCGTAGTGGGCGGGAGCCACGGGAGAGGCCCCCAGCTGCGGCAGCAGTGGTGGTGGGCGGGGACCGGGGCCAAGGCCCTTGCACGAATTTCGTGCATCGGGCCCCTAGTTTATAATAAGAACTTTTGTGAAGTTGAAAGTTTCTCGTTTTTATAATTATGGCTTTCCTATTACATAGGATGCTTCACCAAGAGTCCCAGGAGGCTCCCCTCGAACACCAAACAGATCAGTGTCATCCAATGTTGCCAGCGTGTCACCCATCCCTGCTGGGTCAAAAAAAATTGATCCAAACATGAAAGGTACATTTCTTTTTTTCTTGGAGAAAACAACACAATATGTTTTCAGTAGAAAGAAATCTACCTAAAATCCCCCTTTACCATAGTGGTTTTTGTGCAATAGCTTCTAATCTTTGTCTCTATAGATATAATCTCATAGTTAGACTGAAAACCATTTTACAGTATAGTCTTAATATGTTATTTCTATGATGGAAGCTTTATGATAGCTTTGTGTTTATTTAATCATTCTCCTATGGTAGGTCATTGAAGAAATTCATATTTTTATAATAGGTTACCTGCAATTAACATGAAAACTATATGCATAATCATATAGGAGAATTAGATAACTTTTTATAGTACTTGAGGCAGATATTTTTCAACGTTATATTTTTAAGAACCCCTTTCAAAGCAGAGATGTATAGCAACTAATATCTGTTTAATATGCCTTTGGCCTTTTTAAAATAACATTCTAATTTTTAAATAATTATCTTGCATTTTTAAAGGTTATTTATATTTTGTTCTGTATGAGTAGATCAGAGAAGTTACCCAGCCTCTAAGATCAAACTAGACCTGAATTTGGAACATACAGCTTTTAAATTTCAAGCCTATTATTCATTTTCTATGTGTGATTACTAAAATAATAATTTGTAGAAAAACCTGATGTTTTGATTGAAAGTTTTTGTTTTTTGTTCTATAGCTGGAGCTACAAGTGAAGGTGTCCTGGCCAATTTCTTCAATAGTTTGCTGAGTAAAAAGACTGGTTCTCCGGGAGGCCCCAGTGTTGGTGGTGGCAGCCCTGGAACTGGGGCTGGAGGTGGAAGCAGTGGTTTACCACCATCTGCCAAAAAGTCAGGTATAGTTACTGGAGCTTTTTTTTTTTTTTTTATATATAAAACAGTTTTATGGAGATATAATTTACATACTGTGAAGTGAAGCTCACTCATTTAAAGTGTACAGTTCAGTAGTGTTCGTATAGTTAGAGTTATGCAAACCATCACTATAATCTGATTTTAGAATATTTTCATCTCCCCAGAAAGAAACCTCCAACCTATTAGCAGTTACTCCTTCCCTCCCCTGGAGCCCCAAGTCCTAGGTAACACTAATCTGATTTCTGCTTCTGTGGACTTGCTGATCAGGAGATTTCATATGAATATGGCTTCTTTAACATAATGTTTTCAAGGTTCTTTTATGTTTCAATATTTCAATATTTTATTTCTTTTTTACTGCTGAATAAAATTCCATTGTATGGATATGTCACACTTTATTTATCCATTCATCAGTTGATGGACATTTATATTATTTCCACTTTGGGGCTATCTATATAATAAAAGCCTAATATACAAATCAACCAAACAGTGGAACGACCGGTCCCTATGACGTGCACTGACCACCAGGGGCAGATGCTCAACATAGGAGCTGTTCCCAGCCTGCAGGCCCCAGGCCAGCCAAGGCGGGTGCCAGCGGGGGGGCCCCCCTGAGCACCCTGCTGATCCCCCCACAAATCCGCCCTGATCATCGACCAGGCCTAGGCACCCAACCCATGCACGAATTTCGTGCATTGGGCCTCTAGTTATGAATAATACTGCTATGAACGTACATTCCCCAAAGCAAGGTATGAGGGTCCCAATTTCTCCACATTCTCTTCAATATTTGTTATTGTCCATCTTTTTTATTAGGACAGTCCCAGTGTTTCTGAAGATTCCAGGGTCTAGGACAGTAATGGCGAACCTTTTGAGCTCAGCGTGTCAGCATTTTGAAAAACCCTCACTTAACTCTGGTGCCGTGTCACATAGAATAGCTATTCAGGAAGCACTAATTCAGGCAGGAACCTAAATAGTTTTAGGAGACAAAGGCCAGGGGGATCAGGAATATTTATGAGAAAGGGAAGGGGAACAATTCCATCAACTGCTCAATTATGTCAGCTTCTAGAAGAAGGCAATTCTATAAGTACAGATAAGCTAACATAGGGATGCTAATTCTAAAGAATGTTTTTAATTTTCAGTCTGTAGCTATAACAGTCTGATTTCTTGTTGTCTTTGCACACAGTTGTTTGGGATACAGTGCTGCTTTAGGCCCAGTCAAAGGTTATTTTGCCCTATTTTAACATTTCAAAGGTTGGAGGCATCCTCTGGGACCGCAGCTCTGACTCCATTTTAAAGTGGCTTCGTTTATATATATTTTTTACTTTAGTATGCTAGGTAAAATTAATGAAACCTTTGGCAGTTTCTTGAATGAAGAGACATTGCTATAAAAGATACTATTACTTATATCTAAATCGCATTTCTTTTTCTTCAATGTAGGCCAGAAGCCTGTCCTATCAGATGTTCATGCGGAACTGGACAGAATTACACGAAAACCAGTCACAGTTTCTCCTACATCACCAACATCTCCTACGGAAGGAGAAGCTTCTTGAAGATACCAAATAAAGCCATTTATTCAGTTTTCTGGGATAATGTAAACTTGCCTCTGCCTTTTCCTTCAAGAGTGGAATTAGGGAGCTGCAGTGCTTTGTCAGATGGACTAAACTTATCTTTTTTTTTTTGTGGTTGCCCATTTTTATAAAAGGAAGCTATACAGAAGAAAAATGATTCTTCACTATGTAGGATTGCTATTTGCATTGCCACTTTGCATAAGGAAGTAAGTTTGGATTTTGAAAACCTCAAAATTTATAGATCTGAAATTAAACCATGTGATCATATTCTAAAGGCTACTTAAAACATACAGGAAGGTTTAGGGAAGGGCAGAAAACAATATGCTTTGGACATTTGACTGACTTGGAAGTCCAAGCTTATTTTAGTTAAGACTATACAAAATCATTTTTTAAAATTATGTGTTAGTTTTACTGGAAAAAAGAAGATGATTATCAAATTTTCCACACCAACATAAATATACCACCACAAATGGAATATGCTGAGAAAACTATCAGATAGCATTTGATACACTAGTCATTGTCTAAATCAATGATCCTATAAGTTGTTATCAAAATATAATTTAAAATATTGGTCAAGATTCATTTCTGTGAGAAGAAAAGAAAGCACACTGCCTAAATGTGTAAAAGAAAAATGCAGAGGTTATTAATGTAAAGCGGTAACAGTCTTTGGATTTGTCTATATATATATGTCATATATATGTATGTCATATATATATGTATATATATATGGCTCTGCCTTAATACACCCCTTTTTTGTTTGTGACTTTCAATTGTAATCAGTTAATAAAGTATTTATTCTCTGCATTCAGGTTCAAATACCTTGTTGCATTCTCTTATATTTAAATTTGTTTTTTTAAAGTGTTTGACTAAATAGGATTATTAAGCATTCTGATTTTTCTACCTGTTTCTAAGAGACTGAATACATGAGATTCAGTATCCTGGTAAGTTTGCTTAAATTGGGAGTTTACTTTGATCAACACATCTTCCCCACATGTCTTGATCTGCAGAATCCTGTGTCAGCATTCCTAGTAGATAAAAATACAGCCTTTTATCATTAATTAATGCACAGAAGCTGTTTTTAAAAGCTTGGCTAATGCACTGACACATAGCTACTCTCTTAGAGGTCAGAACACCTGTTAGTAGTTCTATTCAATATTTAGTTTTCAGTGCTTGTTTTAGAACCTTCATAAGAACAATTTCATTTTATTGAAGTTCACCTAAAGAACACTTGTACATTTGACCTATTGAGTCATTTCAGATAATTGGAAAATGTGGTTACTATACTTTAAATTGGGCTTTGTTAGTACTTTAAAATACATATTCCAAAGATTTTTTTTCCAACAAAATGTTGAAGGATAAAACGTCTACCAGCTTACATAATACTTTTCATTAGAACCTTAAAATCTTTTTAGTTTTATAATAGTATTTGGCTCCTAATAGTTGAGTATAAATGCTAAAAATATATGAGGGTAATAATTTGTTTCAATGTGGAAAAAATTTAGTTTGTTCAGGGCATGGGAAAACATATGCATGATAAGCATGAGATGAAAAATGCCATTGATAAAATCTTTAGTCCAGAAAGGGTTGTACAATCATGGTGTTGTAAAGACCAATATTTCTAAACTAGTACTTGATTAAGTGAAACTAATGAAGGAAAGAAAATTGTAGACTGTGTATCGAGCTCTGCTTTGCTATGGCTGCTGTGTTTGCATGTTTAGACCAACTCATTTTTTTTGTATGACATTGGAGTTGTATTAGAAAATCCTTGAAATTAATAATTGAGTTGTTACTTGAAATAACTGTAATTGTTCCTTATATGAGACTCCATTTTAACTAATGTAAAACCTTGTGTTTACCATATTTAAGCCTAAAACCTATGTCCCAATTTTGCAAGGAAATTTAAGCTTTTTTTTGAAGTATACATTACAGGGAAGTAGAAGTTACAGCAGTATAGCTTGAAATACCACACAGTGATCACATATAACCAACACCATGATCAAGAAAAACATTACTGGCACCCCCGTTCCCTGTGTGCCTCATCAGAACTCTCACCCACCAACCAACCACTGTCCAAAGCCGTAGGTAAGTTAAGTTTTCTTTGTGTGTACCTCTTTGTATGTTTTTTCACTTTTGGACCCTTTGTCAATGTTTCACATTTCAAAAAATAATATTTAAACAACTGAGGGAAAATTGAAGACTGTTTTCTATATATAGAAATGACAAGGCTTTGTGTTAGGGTTGCCTGGTGACAGGATTCCCTGTTATCCAGATACCAAACTGGGCCCCACCCTCACTTCCCCAAGAAATCAGAAGATCCCACATTTCTTCATTACATCTCTCACACATAATGAGACTGGACTAAAGGACAACTAACATAGAAGCAAGGAGACTAAGTGATTCATAGTCTTTCCCTACTCCCAAATACTACTCAGGAATGAACGCGCATCGAGTGCAGAAACCCTAGAACAAAAGGCATTATGAACATTCCTTTGCCATTGTGGCCCTCTGGTGGTATAAATGAAATGAGAGTGATAATTTTGTTTGCTTATCCTCAAGGCTAATTTAGTTAGGAGAGGAGCTTTGGTAAACTGTAACCCCTGGAAAAATTCTGAGCCAAAGTTCTCTTTGTTTCTCTGGCACCCTTGTCCACTCTGAGTTGTTTGGAAATGTTGATAAAGAAACCAAGACTTTTTCTTTGCCTTACATCACGCATCCCGTGTTCTTCAGCTCTCTGAAGTTATAAGTGAACTTAAATGAGATGGAGGATGTGGGGTGCTTTCTAAACTGAAAAGTGTTACAAAAATGTGTTTATTGCCACCAGGGGAGGAATTTTAATTTACATACAGGTAATTTCAATACCAGTATTTAAATACTAGTCCCATGAGTAAATTATTGAGGCAGGCATACTGTCGATGTAAAAAATGTCCAAACCTGCCCTGGCTGGTGTGGCTCAGTTAGTTTTCAGTGGTTTGGTGTAGTCCCATGCACTTGAAAGATTGCTGGTTTGATTCCTGGTCAGGGCACGTGCACAGTTTTTGGGCTTAATTTTCCCTACCCCCATAAGGGGGCCTGTAAGAGGCAGCCCATTGATGTTTCTCTCCCTCTCCCTTCCTCTCTCTCTCAAAAATCAATTTTAAAAAAATCTTTAAAAAACAAAAAACAACATCCAAACCAGTGTGGAGAAAATGAGTTTATTTGGGCCAAATAGGCAGGAGCAAGATCTCAAATGCTCTGGAGAATAACAACTTTGCAGCTTCTGTTATGCATTTGAAATTGAGGGGACAACGAAGATGACATGAAAGTGGGAGAAAGTAAGGTGGGGATTGGATTACAGGTTAAGATGATACGCTCTCTTGAGGGTGGTTGTTTCAAAGATGTGTTAACCCAGGTGCACAGATACAACGGGCATGGTTTGGGTAAGACAAAGATAAACCTTTTACTAAAAGGTTATATGCCTGTGGCATGACTACCCACCATGACCTGTCCAGTTAGGAATTCATGATCAGATCTATCAGTGAGATTACTTTCCATGGAACCCCCCCCCCCAATACTCAGCTATCTACTCTAAATGTATTAGTGTAATTACTAGTAGACTACTGAAAAGCCTACTACCTTGTGTGCTTCTTCTCCAGCCCTCTAAACACTCTTATTTCTCTGTCCCCTCTTCACCTTCTGTCCCACACCCACAAAGTTGTAGCCTAAATCCTCTTTCTGTAAGTTCATCCCTTTCACGTTTGTATGGCCCACATGCTTCATCTCCTCCAATGCTCCGGGTGCATATTTCAAATTATTTACCGAGGACTCCCCTTGAAGCCCTCTGGCACTGCAACCTCAGTGAGTCCTAATCTTAGTTCTGCATCTTCCTTTTATTAATACATATGATTCAAACCTGGGATTAAGGTGAAGGATTACTGAGTGCTATTTCGATGTCCTATGTCATACCAGAGCAGTGGTTCTCAAACCCAGCAGCACTTGGGAACTTGTTAGAAATGCAATTTTCCAGGTTCCATCAGAAACTCGGGGGGTGAGGTCCAGAAATCTATGGTTTCACAGGCCTGCCATGTGATTCAGATCAAACAAACTAGTCTAATCTCACTAATTTTATCACCCACAGCTTTTCTTGGAACCATCCCCTCTGTTTCCATGACTAAAGCCTAAATTTAAACCCCTATGCCCCCTTTCCTGAATTTTTACAACCCTACCTGGCTCTTTGTAATCAGTCTACACAAGTCTGCTGGAAAATATCCCCAAGGAAGATCTTGGGCCATTTCACTTTCCTACACAAAACCCTTCCTGTTCAACTGCAAAGGAAAGCCTTCCAAAGTTTGACCCTAAGCAGATCTTCCCTACTTGTCCTTAATAATAATCTCCATAATCTGTGCCTATATGCGCTTTCAGTACCTTCCTTCATGTTGTCCCTCTGCCTGTAATACCCCTTCCTGTTTCTGCATGTCCAAACCATTCCTTAACTCCCAGTTTGAAGCTCTTCCCCCCTCATGCTATTCCTCTTATCTCTGCAGTCATTTCTCTCTGCAGTGAATTCCCAACACATTTAGTTGGTATCTCTCTTATGGTACATATCACTTTCTATTTTGAGACATAGTCCTTTACAGAAGTTTCTATGGTCTCATTGTATGACAGTCTTTAGGACCCAATTTTGTATCCACATTGTTACCTATCTGTGCTAATATTGCTAAGAGCCAGTGAAATTTTTGAGTATGAGCCACTGAAAAATTAAAATCTCAACTGAAAAAGTAGTACCAAATTATTTTTTGAATGTATAAAATCTCATCATAATATATTTTCCTAAGCTTTTTGTGACTTTCCTTTCTCGCATTTAACAATATTAGTTATTTAATATTAAAGGAGAAAAATGAATGTTCTTCAAAACTTAAGTGAATCTTTCTTCTATTTGATACACCTTTTCTCCATAAACAAGATTTCTCATTTCACTGTGGCAAGTCCCAGCATTTAATTATTCATTGTTGTTTATTCATTAGTGAAGATGATAGTTTTCTGCATGGACACATCCATCAAAAGGGCTCCTTGATACAAGTGTTTGTTCATGAAACCCTACATTCTTTATTTGGCCTTTTTTATTAAAAAAAAATAAGTGATGCATACTTTTTTTTTTAACTGGGAGGGATATTAGTGTCTACATTTTGGGTACCCCAAATCAATCAAGGCAAAGGAAGTTAATGGCACATCTGCTGTCTCCTACCTACTGGCTTTCATTTCGATCACATTAAAATAGAGTGTTCCTCCATATGAATGGATTTCTCACGAATATCATCTGGAGAGCTTGTTACAAAAGAGTTTCAAGCCCTACCCAAATTCAGACCCTTTGGAATTGGGTTTCCATCTTTTTAAAAATATATTTTTACTGATTTCAGAGAGGAAGTAAGAGAGAGAGAGAGAAGCATCAATGATGAGAGAGAGAGAGAGAGAGAGAAATGGATTGGCTGTCTCCTTTGCATCTCACACTGGGGAATGAGCCAGCAACCTGGGCATGTGCCCTGACTGGGTATCGAACCGTGACCTCCTGGTTCATAGGTCAACGCTCAACCACTGAACCACAATGGCCAGGCTGGATTTCTAAGAATCTTTTTATTTTATTTTATCTAATTTTTTATTTTTTTATTTATTTTTTTACAGAGAGGAAGGGAGAGAGACAGAGAGTCAGAAACATCGATGAGAGAGAAACATCGATCAGCTGCCTCCTGCACATCCCCCACTGGGGATGTGCCCGCAACCCAGGTACATGCCCTTGACCGGAATCGAACCTGGGACCTTTCAGTCCGCAGGCCGACGCTCCA